TATGCATAGAAGTAAGGATGGTAGAATGTGCCTTCGTTCATATAAAAAGCATATAAACAAGAGAAACATTGATCTCCCGGCTGGATATAAAATGCATACAGACATGGATGGATGGATGGACCGGAAAAATTTCTTCATTGAGGATTACACATGTGTTATGTGTAATCAACATTCCCTGGAAACAAGAGATCATCTCTTCTTCCAATGTCCATATGCTCAGCTCTGTTGGCAATATGTGTGTCCCTCATGGCAGCCCCAGAATACAAATATTCAGGAAGAAGTGGCGCATCTCAAGCATCTTATCAATTTGCCTTTTGCTCTGAAAATCATCATTCTGGTATCCTAGGCTATATGGACAACGCGGAACGATTTCATTTTTAAAAAGATTCCCCCAAATCTATATACTTCCAGGCGCAAATTCAAAGAAGAGATGAAATGGCTCACTCATAGAGCAAGAAGACAGGATTATTCCGGCATGGCGGATTGGGTTGCAATGTTCAGATAACTTGCTGGTTCAGATGGGTGTTTTTGCTGCTTGTTTTCCTTGTATGTATGTATGTATGTATGTATATTTGTTCTTTTTACCTTTCCTAGGTTTTCTTTTTCGTTCTGATGTATAGTTTTTCTCTTACTTGGACCATTTGTATTTTTTTATTTGAAAATTAATAAAAATACGCAGCAGAGTCCTGCTGTTTCCCTAAAAAAAATAGTCCAAATGATTTATATTTCTTCACAGAAAACTCCACAGAAACTCTGTACATTCTTAAAAGGAAAAGAGAGTAAGGCTGGTCATAATGGGGCAACTTAGGTAGTAACTTAACACACCCTAAGGCAATTCTGCTTATGTGGCAAGTATTTTAATGAGAAAAGATGTGTTTGGAGTAACATAATATGTTACTGTAACATAGCTCTTCCTGAGGTAAAATGAGTCTATAGACTAATAAATGAAGCCATCTATGACATCACTCCTATAATACTTTGCACTATGAAAATAGTAATTTAGACTAATGTCATATCCATGACACTAGTATAAGTTACTCCCAACTATGACCAGGCTAGAAAAATCAGACACAAAAGATATAGGTTTCCGCACCATTTGTTAGAACAACGAAGTCCAAGACAAATTCACCGCCACACCACCGGCAATGAGGTCTGATTTTATGAACATACAGAAACAACACACTCCTAAGTTTTTTTTTCCAATAGTTCCAAGATGGCCAAGTCAAAAAATAATACATATAAAATTCCTTGAGATTACAATGCTTTGATAAAAAAATCATAGGAAGCTACAAACGTTGATTTTATGAACACACAGAAACAACACACTCCTAAGTTGTTTCCAATAGTTCCAAGGTGCCTAAGTCAAAAAAAAAGTGATGCATATAAAATTCTCAAGATTACAACGCTTCAATATAGGGCGACGCTACGCGTTCGCCGGTGGAAATTTAAAAAGGATCCGCCGCCTCCCCAACCATTGGATGGACACATTAATGACCATCCGATCTATCAAAATAAGCAGCCATACTTTGTAATAAGAGTTGTGTTTCTGCAACAATCTGCTTGTTGCAATCACCTGAGCTTGTATTTTTTTTATTTTTATTTTGCAACAGAGATCTTATTGCAGAATTTTTTCGCAACGGAGATCCTGTTGCAGAAATTTTAGAGACCACCATTGTTTGTACTTTTTAATTTTCTGCAACAGAGCTCTTGCTTCGGAATTTCTTCGCAACAAAGGTCTTGTTGCAGAATTTTAAAAATCTCACGACACGAGCATGTGGTTTTTTGTTTTTACAACAGTGGCCCCGTTGTAAAAAAATTTAAAGATCGATTGCAACAGGGGACATGTCCTTGAATTTTTTTGTAACAGAGTTTATGTTCCAAAAATTATTTTCAAAACGGAGCCCGTGAAATTAAGGAGATGATGCCGCTCGCAGCATCGATGTCCCTGTATTTTTTTGCAACAAAAATCTTATTGCAGAATCTTTTCGCAACGGAGATCTTGTTGCAAAAATTTTAAAGATCACCCTTGTTTATATTTTTTCATTTTCTGCAACAGAGATCTTGTTTCGGAATTTCTTCGCAACAAAGGCCTTGCTGCAGATCTTGAGGGGGTTCAGATCCAGATCCCGTAACACACCAACTGTTTGTAGGATGTGATGTGTGCTATGTGGTCCAAACAGCGCTATGTGTTATCCATGCCACACGATCATCACGGAGGCGGCCGACGCGTGAGAGTTATCCGCCGGCTGAACCAAAGCTTTTTCCTTCAATATACAGATCTTAGGAAGCTATTCCCTCTGTAAAGAAATATAAAAATGTTTAGATCACTAAAATAATGATCTATTGAGGGAGTACAAATTAAATAATAGCGCTGCACTTTGCAACATGCATTGACGTGACCACGGGTTAACTCTAGCAGGCTTCAGTCAAGGGTATTTAGCAGTCGAAGGTAAAATTGACAAATTTGACCTCAAAGCGAAAGTATTTCACAAACTAAACTGCATTTGAAAATATTTCACACTGCTGACCCTTTTGTGTAGCGCCCGACAACAAGGCGCTGCACTCTACTGTGCAACTCCTTACAGCTAGGCGCTGCACAATGTAGTGCAACTCCTTAGAGCTAAGCGCTGCACAGTGTGGCGCCTAAGTGTTAGGCGTTGCACAGTAGAGTGCAGCGCCTTACTGTCAGGCGCTGCACATTAAAGGTCAGCCAGATGAAATACTTTCAAGAACAGTTTAGTTTGTGAAATAGTTTCGATCTAAGGTCAAATTTGTACCTTTTGCCAAGGTATGATGAACGGAGCATTGCTCATATGGTTAGATTCTTTATGGTAAAACCAACCCATCTACTCAGAATTTATTTTCAGAATTCGAATGGTCGGATAGTCGAGAGTAGGTTAGACTTAACACGGATGGTCGGATATTTTCAGAATTTATTTTAGCCTCTTCGGTGCCCTTTTTTCTGTGGTGTGAAATGTCCATTCAACTATGAGTTGACTATCGCTAGTTTGTTAATCTCAAGACATGCCGCTGAATATCCTAGATATGCTCAAATTCACGTAAAAACAAGAAGACAGTAGGGAGAGTGTGTGCGTTTATGGAATGAGTGTAGCATGTTCTCAGCGTCTCCGTTCATAAGTTGTACTCTCTTCGTCAGATGAAGAGTGTACAATTTGGTTTTGAAATTTGTCCATAAAAAAATATATTTTTATCTTTTTATTGCACTTTAAAGTACTCCTTTTGTTCCAAATTACTTATCGCAGAAAAGGATGTATCTAGAACTAAAATACATCTAGATACATCCATACCTGCGACAAGTAATTTGAAATGGAGGGAGTAGGAAAAAATGCTTCTCTCTCATCACATGATAATCAAAACAATAACATTCTAAGCACAGTCTTCTTAATTTCTACATGCACTTAGCTCATTGGGGTTGGGTAATTAAAAAGGAGAGAGATGGTGGCTTGCATCTTTTCAACGCATTTTTTACTCCACTTCATAATTTGGCCTAAAATTTCTATATGTACTTCCTCCGTCCAAAAATACCTGTCATCAAAATAAATAAATAAAGATGTATCTAGAAATAAAATACATCTAAATATATTCCTTTTTATCCATTTTGATGACAAGTAAACAAAGGGGTTGAAGGTATGGTGCTGGTACGTGGTGGGCGGGCGCCACCCCGAACCGCCCGAGCCACTTGGCGTCCGGTCGGGTGTGCCTTTTGGCGTGCATGATTGTGCCGCGCCACTTGCCGTGCGGGCCATTTCACACCTCATGCATTCAGGCTGGCAACTCACCCACAACCAAAGATTTTTCAGAGGTCCTGCACTGCACTTGTGCAGTGAGTAATGGCACCTGCGTGCGCACAGCTGGCTGTGTTGTCCGAGGATGGCCACACGACAGTCTTGACATTTCCAACGGAATATTATCAGATTGGACCAAATTTATTGAGTCAGGCTTTGGTCTCAATGCAAAATTTTGTTGCTCCAGTCCAAACAAACGATACACCATTCTCGTAAGCAGCAGCTGCTCTCTTCGTGAATCCTTGGTCCAAACCCTGCAAAAAAAAAAAACGCCTCTGCGGGCAATGGGTTCCAAGCTCCAACACAAATGTTGTGACGTTGACCGTGACGCGCCCACGACGCCGGCATGGCTCCCCAAACCTCTCACCAACTTGACCCGGCACGCTCAAGCATAACCTGCAACTGCCGATCTTGCATACCATCCCATCCCTACGCTACGCACTTGCACTTCCATCGGATCTGTTCCTAACTGTTTGTTCCTCCGCACGAAAATGTGGTGGCCGGTGAACAATTCGTATCATGCCCCATCTCCCTTTGGTTTCAGGTTAATAACAAAGGAATCGCTAGAAATTTGTAGACCTTTGATTTTTGTTTTTGTCTTCTGAGATAGCTAACGGTTCATTCCAGTCTTTTGAGATGGCTAACAAAAAGAAGAATACAACAGTGAGGCAAAACCTAGTTACACCAAAACTATACCGGACTAGTATTTCTTAATTCGGGGTGCAAAACCAAAGGCATCTTATCTAACAAAAAGAAGAACACGACAGTGAGGCAAAACCTAGTTACAGTATTAAAGAAATGAGTGTAAGCTGGCAATGAATAATGACAAAATAATTCAGAATTCCGATTCCATAAGAATAGCATAAATGATACAAGTTGATGAATAATGTAGCAACGTGAGTGTATGATGTATTGCCATCCATTCACTAAATAGCCAAACACACGCCTCTCCCTTTCCTTCTTAAAAGTAGCTCAGGGCTATAGTTAAGGTTCAAAAATACCACACCGGACAACATGTTATACCAGGAACCTGCATATTGTCAATTGAAAGATCGGTTGATAAAGAGTGCAGCACCGGAGTACAACTCCAGGCAAATTACTTACTGTTCACAAGGGTGAGAGCAGTATGGTTGCACAAATGCACATAGTGCCTTCTCTAGCAAACAAATCCTGCTTCACCTTCAAACATCAGATTCACGAAGACCTCAGCCCAGGAACATTTTGAAGGCCCATCTTCCGAAGAATGAGTTTCGGTATGGCTGGCACAATTTCAAGCTCCATGCTCTGACTGAAGTCCTCTGCAAGCTTAACAAGTCTTGACTTGTCTCTGCTGATGGTCTTGTTTGAGTTGTAGTACCCTAACCATGCTTGATAGGCCGATTCTTTCGTCTTTATCTCCACTCTCCTGATGGCACCTTTCACCTATCAGCCAAGGAAACATAAGTGCCAAATACGTTGCTTTACAGGGTGAAAATAGACTGAGATTTCATAAGCAGACTTTCTTGCTAAATATGCACCTAACTAACCAGAGTACAAAGCGTGGTAGATGAAAAGATAATAAAAATCATATACTGCTTACTTCTGTTTGAATGCTTGGATTAACTGGAGGTGCCACCGTCTCTGTTATTGACAGATCATTAACGCTACTAAGGAAATATTTTTCCCAGTGAGCTAACAGTAAAATGCCTTGCCCTTCCTTGCCTTTCCTTCCAGTACGACCAAGTCTATGTATATACTGCTGTCTATCAGAAGGCAACCCAACCTGCACGAGCAGATAAGATTTATGAGGAATGTACACCTTATACAAGTTCTTTGGATAAATTATATGACAACGGAACCTACCTGTATGACAAGCGAGACATCAGGATAATCAACACCACGGGCAGAAACATCAGAACTGACTAATATCAAGCCCTTTGACTTCCTAAATTCATCTGAGACCTTTGTTCTGGCAGATTGTGACTTCCTGGAATGAATCTCTCTTATATTCAGTTTCAGCTGGGAGAGAATTTCAGCAACAAGCTTGGTGACCATTGCTGTAGTACAGAATATAATAACCTGCAAAATTGCATGGGTAATGTCAACCATGGAAAATAACTAAGATGTAAACCGGCACCTTGGTGAGGTGACACCCTATCAAAAACAAAACCTGCGAGATTAACTTACTTTGTATTCTGCATCTTCTGCAATATGCTTCTTTAAGACACCATATAATATAGAGAAGTGGAGGTCTAATGGTGCAACCATGTACATCTGATTTACCTGATACATGAGTAATAATGGAAGGTGCCTATGAGCTAGCTGCCAAGCTTACTTCAAAATTCTATCTAACAACTCAGGAAAATGACAGATTTAGACCTGTGCATGTGTCTCCTCATCACCCTCTTGAACAGTATTGATGAACTTGTAATCCTTCTGCATTGCTAAATGAGATACTTCACGGACCTAAGAGTAAACATTCAAAAGATCAGATTGCATCAGGACTTCACATACAAAGAGGTGACATGAGAAAAAGAGATACCTCTCCTGGAACAGTAGCAGAAAATAGCAGTGTTTGCCGTTCCTTAGGAATGAAAGCAATTATTTTCTCAATATCTCTTCTGAATCCCATATCCAATAGGCGGTCAGCTTCATCAAGAACAAGAACCTTCACACCTTTAATCCGGGCAGAAAAACCAGGTGTGTTTTGAAGATGATCGATGAGCCTTCCAGGTGTAGCAACAAGAATCTGTTTGATCGGTAGTATGTATTAGCACATAAACTACATTCAGATATGAACAAACTGAAGCTGATACAGTTGATGGTACGACCTGACATGGCGTGGATCGCATGCTTCTTTGCTCTTGAGATAATTTTGTGCCACCAATTACAACCTGCACGCCCAGTGAGCTGTGATACTTAAGAAGCTTCCTAGCCTCAACGGCCACTTGGTATGCGAGCTCCCTAGTAGGGAGCATCACCAGCAAATTTATCGATGTAGAACAGGGTAATGTAGACAGAAGTTCAATGGCTGGAAGCTAACAATAAGAATTTGAAAGTCAGTCAGATTGGTTAATCCCCACGGTAACATCACTGCAATAAGCCATGAGCTGTGAAAGCCATCAAATTGACTAGTTGTGCTGAAGGCGAAAGAATACCAAAAATGCAACGGTTTTTCCTGTTCCAGTCTTTGCTTTTGCAAGAACATCCTTGCCTGCACTCAACAAATTATTGGAATTTTAGTTTCAGGGTTTCCCAAGACTACGGAGCAAAAATAGTTTGCGTTATTGCTGACCTTGAAGAATTACTGGCAGAGTTGCCTCCTGGACGCGGGTCAGCCTTTCATACCCAGCATCTTTGATTCCTTGCAATGACAATGGAGAAACAGCGCATTGATCGAACCTGCAATATGCAATAAAAACGAAAATTTCAAAATGAGAATGGCAGAAAAATGCTTGTGACGCCAATGTAATCCCCAATAATTTGATGAACACAGATACGGTAGCAGCCGACCGTGTCACGAACTACAACTACATGTCATTCGAGGCCAACTCCGAATGATACCCATAACTTGTAAAGCCGAGGAACAGTACGAATTGAAAAATGCTTACCACACGAGAAATATACAGTATATGGTAGGTATGTACAGTTGGGGAAATATTTCATGCGCACATTCGATCGAAACAAATATGAGGCGCGTGCCACTACCGTGTGTCGCTGAGGTACGATCCATCCACGCCTCCTGTGGCGGCGTTAGAACTTGTCCCCGCATCGATATCCATGGCCTCCGCTGGCACCATGGCCACCTCGCGGACCTGGTCGGCACCTCTTGGCCGGCTCGTGACAACCCTGGGGAACGCGGAGCCGTCCTCCGCGTCCCTCGGGCGCCGCCTCCGCTGCCGCTTCGGGGCTGCCGCGTTCCCGGGATTGCCTGACATGATCCCGCTGGGAACGCCGGCGATGTCGATATCGGTGGCGGCGGCGGCGGTGGGCGGGCGGGAACGTTGGAGCAGCGTGACCTAGGAAACACGAGGAGAGCCGAATACGCACTTCGCAACGTTGCGATGGCAATTTATGGGTTTGCCCTTTCCGACAACCGGATAATTCCATGCATTGTGGCCCTCCGAGGAAAACATATTTACCTTTTACTGCCTCCGTTCCAAAATATATGACATTTTACCAAAACGTCATATAGTACTTCCTCCGTCCCATAATATAAGAGCGTTTTTACACTACTGTAGTGTCAAAAACGCTCTTACATTATGGGACGGAGGGAGTAGATAGGAGAGAACAATAGGGGGGGGGGGAGCAAATGTTGACACCGAGATATTTGTAGGAGTTAAAACAGATGAGACGAATAAAATGTGGCAGTTGCTACGTACTCTAAATATTCATGGCAATAAACCATGGTAATGGCGGGAGATTTCAATGAGATCTTCGTTCAGTGTGAGAAGGAGGGAGGGGCGGCTTAGCCCCAACGGGTGATGGACAGTTTTGGGAGTGCTTTGGAGGATTGTGATCTACATGATATTAGTTTTGTTGGAGACCCATTTACTTGCAAAACGGCAGTTGTAACTCCCAAAAATATATCCACGGGAGACTTGACAGAGCGGTAGCTTCACCAAGTTAGTGCCGAAATTTCTATTTTATAAGGTGGTGCATGGTGATCCACGCCATTCTGATCATCGAGCGTTGATAGTGCATGTGGAATATGAAGTAAGGAAGAGAAAGAGTATATGAAGGGGAGGTCAATTTCGTTTTGAGGCAAAATGTCTAGAGAAAGAACAGTGCAGTCACTGTGGTGTAGAATGCATGGATAAGAGAAATAAGGAGGCTTCGTGGTGGATGCATCAAAGGTGTGGCAAAGAACCTTATCATGTGGAGTGCCTCATGTTTGTTCAAATTGGAGAAGAAAGTATACATGCTAAAAAAGGAGTTGGTGGCATGCCAAAGAAGTGACATATCCCCTCGGTCGGACTGGCGTGAGCGGCTACTGAAGTATAAACTATAGAGGCTAGAATATCAGTTAGACCTTTACTTAAAGCAACAGGGCATTTACATGAACTGGATGGAGAAAGGCGACAATAACACATCAATTTTTAGGCTATATGCGTCCGCTAGGAAAAAGATGAATCACATCAGCAAACTAAAAACGAAAATGGAGGAGGGTGGTTGAGGAGGCAGAGATGGCAGAGGAAAAACTAACTAATTTTGTTCTTTCTTTACTTCACATGTTGGGGATCCTATGGAGGATCTCTTGGACCGAATTCCGGCCCGATGACAATGGATATGAACAAGGTCTTAATGAAGGAGTTCACAAGTGAGAAGGCGAGGAGCGCCTTGGATAGTACTGCTGGCCTCAAGGCCCTCGATGTGATGATATGTCGGATGTGTTCTTCAAGCGCCATTGGAAACAGTGGGTGAACATGTCATAGATGAAGTCTTGCATGTGCTGTGTAGGCTTGTAATGAAACGTGTGTGGTCATAACCCCAAGGTAAAGAAGCCGGAAAGTTTGAAATAGTTATGTCCTATAAGTCTTTACATGTAGTGTAAAATTTGATTTCTAAAGAGCTTGCAAGTCACTTTAAGTCCATTATGCCTAATGCTCCTGACCATTGTGCATTTGTGCCAGTCCATCTAATCACGGACAATATTTTGCTTGCTTATGAAGTCACACATTACATGGAGAATAATAGGATAGGCTCAGTTGGTTATGTGGCTTTGAAACTTGATATGGGTAAAGCATATGATCGTGTTGGGTGGCAGTTTTTTGAAGGGATGATAAGAAAGATGGGTTTTGCGGTAAGTTGGGTAGCCACTATCATGAAATGCACACAACAATGAAGTTCAGATTCAAGTTTAATGTTACTTTGATATAAGAGATCACTCTAGGTAAATGCCTCATCCAAAGAGATCTCTCCACCTATCTCTTTTTAATTCATACAGAAGCATTCTCCACTTTACAAGGTGTGTTGAGATGCCCTGAGTTGTAACCATATACTACTGCAGATGACTCGCTAATTCTTCTGAAAGTGAACGGAGAAATTAAGTTCGCATCATCTACAAAGTATCCTTCCTCTTTATGAGGTTTTCTCAAGATAGATTGTTAATGTTGATAAATCCTCTTTTGTGTTTAGTAAGAACACTGAGTAACATGACAAGTTTCATACGATGCAGCAACCGGCAGTTCAAGAGGAGGAACGAAATGAAAGATGTTTGGGCTAGTGCATGTGGGGACGTTGAGGACAAATGTATTTGCTTATTTGAAGGACTGGATACGGGACCACATCCAAGGGTGAATGGAGAAACTCCTATCTAAGGTGGTTGAAGATTTTTTATAAAAGCTTTTACACAAGCAATACCCTCATTTGCAATGTACTGCTTTGATTTAACTAAGGGCCTTGTGAGCATATTAGTTGATGATTGGAATATACTTTTAGGCACAACAAGAAAATGAAAACAAGGTGCATTGGATAAACTAGGAAAAGCCACGCTATTCAAGAGGACTCGCGAGGAGGAAGTGCAAAGTAGGTAGTCATCCAATTTCGGAACTTTCCCGGAAAGCCTCTTTTTCTGAAGGAGGCCAATGATGTACTCCCATTGCATCGAGTGAAAGGCCTTTCAAATGTCAAGCTTCAAGAGCAGGGAGGGAGTTTTTCTCTTCTGAAGTTGTTGTGCAATGTTCCTCACATACATGAAGCTAGCATGAATACTCCTTGTTTTAATGAATGTACTTTGTGTGTTGGATACAAGGGCATGCACGTGAGGGCTAAGACGGATAGCAAGGACATTTGTAATGTTTTTGGCAATTGCATGGATGAGTATAAGCACCATCGTTATTGGGGATAAGCATAATGTTTTGGGAGTTGAGCCAATGGAGGTTTACAACATGAAGGTTGCCAAAGAGATGAAT